AATAAAAAAAAATTAAAATTAGAAGTTAAAAAGAAAACTTTAAAAACGAAAAATATTAAAAATTAAAAAATATTTTTTTTTTAACTTAAAAATTAAAAATAAAAAAATATAAATTAAAAACAAAAAAATATAAATAAAAAAATTAAAAATTTTAACAAAAATGTTAAGATTAATCAAATTTAAACAGTCGATAAACAAATTGAGGCATTTCGATATGTAAATTAGTTCAAAACCACGCGAACTCTAAAACTGCGAACGAACCGTTCCGCCGATCGATCAGCGTTAACGCATTCATTGCTAAAACAGCCACGCAAACGAAAATTCCCAAGCTTAATGTAAGTATGTATATGTACATACTACATACGAAGTGTTGAAAGCAAAAGCCAAAGCAACCCAAAACCATACAACAACTTAGTTTCGAGCATAAAAGCAATAAATTAATTAACATTTGTAGGAAAGCGATGATCACCCACAAAACCGAAAATAAACGTTCACTTTCACAGCCAAAATGCCTCTAGCGCTGTTGTGGATCGTGAACCACAGTGTTAGGCAGATAAACGCTTAGAAAAGCAAATGACAGCCAAACAAAATTTTATTTAGTTTTCGAAAACAAAAAGCAAAAACAACAAAAACTCCTCAGCCAACTTATCTCAAACCGGAAGAATTCTGCATATCTAAATCATACACCAGCCGCGCCCTGATAAAGTTAACAGTTTTTGTTTCCAGTTAACAAATCAAGCGTCTCGAAACGAACGTCGACAATCAACAAACGCCCATCGAGCGAACACTCACTCACACCATAAAAAAAAAATAACAACGCCACCGGAAAGCATGCCACAACTGCCAACACAATTCAAAAACACTTTTACCTGTACTCGTACTTCGTCAAGTTGAATGCCGCCAACGCGTGACATTAGCGATAACAAAAGCTGAACTTTTAATAATTGAAATATTTGCTTTAATTTTGTTGCTGAAATAATTGTGTGCACATGTTTTATGTTTTCTCTCCCAACAGCCTTTTAGTTTTTGGTTTTTATACTTGGTGCTTTTAAAGTTTAAATTAATTTTCTAAAAGTGTAAATGCACTTCAAAACGAAAACGAAATAGCAATAAAATAATTAACCAGCGCGCAGACCACGTCAGGCCACACCACACCACACCATACCACACCACCCAACATTACCACCGCCACGTACTCCGCAAACAAAACGAAAATATATTTCCATTATGTCCACAATGAATTTCACGCGTAAACTGCGCGGTCGCATGCGCTCGAATACCTGCCGCATTGTGTTGCTCACCTCGCTGGTGTGGGTGATTGTGGATTTCGTACTGATCGCACACTATTCGGATTGCATTGGACGCGATGGTTGGCGGTGTAAGCGGCCGGGAGAATACGATGTGGAGGTGAGTTGAAAAGTTTGCTATTTGAATTGAAATTCTTTTTATAATGAAATGCTGATAAAAAAAATGCAGTCGCATATCTTTAATATGCATGTATAAATTGAGAGTAGATTGTGATACAAATTTGCATATCTTCTAAAAGTATTTAGAACCAGGTTAAGCTGGCTTCTGTAATCCAATTAATCAGTAGCAACGAATCTATATATATAATACGCGAAGGGATTTTTTGTCTCTTTTCAGGAGTCAAATTAAAGGGCTTAAGGTTTTACTTTTTCGAAAAGAGTTGCCACCTGTTAAGAAGTTAAGCTCAACTTATTTACAAAGTTAAATCAATTGTTACAATATTCGTATTGGTGGAAATGGGTTTGAAAAGGCTTTATATCTTAACGACGTGTAGGAGGGTTGCCACATGCTTCAAAAATGTAATTCAATTTTAATTAAGGGAATTTCGTAAGTGAATAAGGTATCACTATATGTGGGTGTAAGGCAATAGAGGTTTAAGAAAGTAGCAGTTTGCAAACATTTTGAAGAGGGTTGCCACCTACTGGAGAAGTCGAATTAAATTATTTTATACCCAAGTTATATAAAATATTAAAAATGCATGTCAAATAAAAAAGTTTTAAGAAATATTTAGTTTGACAATTTGAAATATTTTGTGTGGGGGCCACACAGTTTAAAAGGTTAAATTAAAATTATTTAATAAATGGGTTTAAAATCCTTTATTTCATAACTATATTTAGGAGGGTTAAAAAACGAGTTAAAAAAATGCAACTTAATTCATCAGTTACTTGAAATACTTAAAACAATGTCAGACGGAAAAAAGTTTTAGGAAATTTTAGTTCGAAGAAATCTTTACATTCATCACTTAGAATTTTTTAGAGTGTCAAAAGAGAGCTGCCGCCTGTTGAAAAAATTCAATTTGAAATTATTTAATAAGTTCAATGGATTTTCAAAAGATGGGTTTCAATCAAAATAGGTTTGAAAATAATTTATTTCTAAACTGTATTTAGCAGAGTTGCCATGTGCTTGAAAAATCAAATTCAACTGAGTTCATCAGTTAATTGAAATATGTATAACAATGTCAGACGTTAACAAGATTTTAGTTTGAAAATACTTTTAAAGGGGTTGGCACCTGTTGGAAAAGTCGAATGTATTTTACTTATACACAACCTACACAAATGAAATATCGAAGTATTAGTGTCAAGCGAAAGAGTATTAAGAAAACTTTAGGCTGATAATATTTTTAATTAGGGTTGCCATCTATTTTTTTAAGGTCATCACATTTGCACTGTTATTTCGAATTTCCAAAATTAGAAGTCACATTAAAAAACTGGGATTCTACATAGATGTGCAATAAGGTTTTATGTTTCGAAGCTATAAACTTTTTAGCGGTACAGGGAGAATTTAATTTAATTTAAAGAAATGGAAAATGACACCATGGGAGACCTCTCACCACTCAGAAATGGTTCAGATGAAT